AGCTGCTGGGAGGAGAGGGCTCCTCCAGGTGTAGCACGCTCAGGCTCAGCACCCCCAGACTCAGCACCCCCAGACTCAGCACCCCCAGGCTCAGTACCTCCAGGCTCCGCACCTCCAGGCTCCGCACCTCCTGGCTCAGCACCCCCAGGCTCCGCACCCCCAGACTCAGCACTCCCAGGCTCAGCACCCCCAGACGCAGCACCCCCAGGCTCAGCACCCCCAGACGCAGCACCCCCAGGCTCAGCACCCCAAGCAGGACGAGAGTCAACAGCTACCTCGACAGGCTCACCCGGGTCTACCTGGGACACACCTGAGGGAGCGGCACCCTGAGGGGGTCTGGTACCTCAGCACCTGGAGCGAGGAAGAGAGGCGGGGGGGGGAGCGGGGCAGTGCGGTAGGGGAAGAGGCGGTAGTAGGGGACGGACTCGTCAAAAGTGACGTCCTGAGAGGCCAGGACACGACGCGAGGTGGGGTGGTAGAACTGCCAGCCAGGGGCGTCCGGGACAAAGCCAAGGAAGACGCAGGGGACAGCGCGACGGGAGAGCTTGTCCGCGGACGTGTCGCGGACAAAAGCTCGGGATCCCCAGACCCGAAAACGCGACGCATCGCCAGCCTCTCCCGTCCAATGCAGTGTCGGAGAAGTCTCGGGCAAGGAGACACGGGGCCAGAGGTTGAGCTGATGCGCAGCGTATCGGACTGCAAACGGCCACAGAAAATGGGGGGCAGCCGCATGGCTCAAGGAGGTACGAGCGACCTCCATGACCAGACCAATGCGGCGCTCAGCAACCCCATTCTGCTGTGGAGAGGCCGGAAGCGTGTACGACTGCTCAATGCCCTCCTGCTGACAGAAGGCCTCCAATAGGCCAGAGGAAAACTCCCCACCTCTGTCAGAGTGCAGACGCAGGACAGGGAAGTCGGAGCGGAAACGCTCACTGAGCTGGAGACGAGATCTGCGGATCCAAGGGATCAAGACATCAGGGACGTCACCCTTGGCGCGCAAGGGGAAGACCGTGGTGTAGCGCGAGAAGTCGTCAACAACAATCAGGAAGTACCTCTCCTGACCCTGACCATGGACGCGGGCTGGGCCCCACACGTCCATGTGGAGCGTCTGCAAGGGAGCAGTCGTCGGGGGAAAGGAGGAGGAGTGAGGAGCGGCGCGCTGCCGTCCCTCGACACAGGGAATACAGGGAGGAGCAGGCGAGTCGGGAAGGGGAGGGAGCACCCTGGGAAGACCAGCAACAAGGTCCCGTTTGTGCATGGCCCGAAGGCGCTGCACAGACGGGTGACCAAGGCGGTGGTGCCAAAGGACAGTCTCATGCGCCAGAGAGCGACACGAGCAGGGGGCGGACAGCTGACCTGACGCTGACGCAGACGCGGACGCAGCTACCTGAGGGGACTCAGTGGTCAGTGTGTAAAGGTCCGACCCCGGCTCCCGAGTGAAGGTAGCCAGGTGGCGACCCGTCCGAGCACACGTGCAATGTGTCACGCGCTCGTAGGCAGGGGTGAACTGGTGAACACCCCCGTCCTGGAGCGCACTACCTGCCATCAAGTTCGTAGAGAACGAGGGGAGGTAGAGACCTGACAGCGTGCCGGACGGGACCGCCGGACAAGGAAGGACAGTGGAGGAGGTCGCAATGACCGGACCCCCAGAGGGGTCAGCAAGGGAGACAGCAACTGGCCGAGCGAGTGGCTCAAGGACAGTGCGGTCACGAAAGAAGGAGCGAGAAGCACCTGAGTCCAGTGTGAAGGTGTGCAGTGCTGCAGTCGACTCAGTACCAGGGGGCACGGACGCACTAGCACCTAGGGCTGCAGCCTCACCAGGACCTGTGGGAGCAGACGCACTAGCACCTAGAGCGGCAGCCGGACTGGCCTGAATGCCCGGGTCGGGCGGAACACGCAAGTACTGAGCACCCTCTCCACTAATAGACATGGCATACATGGCAGTGAGAATAGCATCAAAGTCTAAAGCCCAAATATCAACACCCCTCTTTTCCAGATCAGCCCAGCGCGGCAGCTCAGTGGCAGCAGGAAACTGAGTGCGCCACGCGTCGTTAAGGCGCGCGAAGCAGCGCTGCGTGGGGTGCGGCCTCCCACACTGCTGGCCGCTGCGGTCACCTGTGCGAATGACGTACGTGCAAGTAAAGCCACGCTGCGCATACCACTCACGGGCGGCCTGAAGCGTCGGGGCTGGCTGCTGACTCTGCCCTCCGCCAGTGCCTCCACGACCACCACCCCCACCGCCGCCGCCCCGGCCACCTCCACCCCTGCCGCCGCCACGACCACCTCCGCCTCCGCTGCCGCCTCCGCCACCACTCCCACCGCTGCTGTCTCCTCCCCCACTGCCGCCACTAGTCTCCCCAGCCGCGCCTCCACTCCCACCGCCTCCACCCCCACCTCCTCCGCCGCCACCCCCACCCCTGCCCCCCTTGTTCCTGCGGCGCCCGCTCGAAGCAGACGCGGTCCCGACCTTCTCAGCACCAAGAAGGTCGACAGCAGCAGCAGAGGCGACAGAGGGGAGGAGGGGGGAAGGGGAACACCCCTCAAAGAACGGGGTGCGGGGGTCGCCACGAGAGGTGCCTACAGCGACGATGCTCGCCTCAGCTGCAAGCAGTTCCTTCTCGAGGAGGGCAACAGTGAGCTCAGTGGGGGAGCGAGAGAGGAAGTGGTCCCTGACTGCGCGCAGAGAGTCAGGGAGGCGGGTGACGATGTGGTAGAGAGTGATCCAGAGCGGGGGGGGGTTGCTAGTGAGAAACTCGGCAGGCATAGCAGCGCGAAAGCGGGCCTCACTAGTCTTAAGGTGGGTGATGAGGTCTGCGACAGTGTGAAAGGAGGCTAGGTCGGGGAACAGGTAGGGGAGAGTGAGGCGGCCTAGCGTGGCAGAAGCGGGTGAGGAGTAGCGGGCAACTACAGCAGTGTAGAGGTCCTTAGCAGTCTTGCACTGGCCGAAGTGCTCGCGCTCGTCTAGCGGCAGGGAGTTGCGAATAGCAAAGCGAGCGTGCGCATCACGGGTCTGCCACTGGGAACGCAGAGTGCTGTCAGCAGACGAGTCAGGGGCAGTGGCATGGCCTAGGGCGTGGTCGTACAGTGAGATGTCTTCCTTGGCAGTGAGCTGTAGGAACAGGTGCAGGTCATCTAGCCAGGTTTCGAACTTCACTGGACGGCCCTCGGCATCGAAAGCTAGAACTGGAGGACTAGCCATAGTGACAGTAGCAGTAGGAATCAGGCCGCTGGAAAGGTGTGCGGAGGGTCAACGGGGCCGGCGGGGCCGCTAGGCAAGGCGCGGGCGGGGTCGACTGTCCGTAGTGGCACACGAGCGGCAGTAGTAGGTAGCGTGGCAGCAGGAGCTGCAACGGCGCACTGGTGGCAGCTGCAGTGGCAGCAGTGTGCGCGGTAGGTAGAAAATAAACAACAGTGAGAGCGAGTGCCTCGCGGGCGGCGGCTGCAGAAGCGCACGGGCGGCAGCGGCGCACGGGGAACGGCGGTGCACGGGCAGCGGCAGCGCACGGGCAGCGGCAGCGTAGGGGCAGCGACGGCGCACGGGCAGCGGCGGCGCACAGGCAGCGGCGGCGCTCGGGAGGCAGCGGTGCGCAAGCAGCAGCGGAAGCAGTGGCGTACGAGCGGCTGCAGAGCGTGCGCGAGCAGGCGACGGGCGGCTGCGGGCGGGCGGCCGCTGCGACGGCGAGCTGTGGGCCTGCGGGGCGTGCGCGAGCAGGCGACGGGCGGCTGCGGGGCGTGCGCGAGCAGGCTACGAGCGGCTGCGGGGCGTGCGCTAGCAGGCGACGGGCGGCTGCGGGGCGTGCGCGAGCAGGCGACGGGCGGCTGCGGGGCGTGCGCGAGCAGGCGACGGGCGGCTGCGGGGCGTGCGCGAGTAGGCGACGGGCCGCGCGCGAGGGAAATAAGGCGCGCGCGGGCAGCAGGCGGGGCGCACGTATGAAAACGACCGCGCGCGAGCGGCTAAGGGGCGGCGCGACGGGGCCTTAAGGGGCGGGTCGCGGGTCGCGGGATGTAGGGGCCGTAAAAAAAAGTTCGAGGCGCCCTAGGTAGGTAGGTAGGTAGGTAGGTAGGGAACGGTGGGCCCTTAAAAAAAAACGGTCCTAGCGAAGGACCTGCTCTGATACCATGTCAACGAGAACGGACTGGAATGGTGGACTAGCAAGGATTGTGAGTACAAATATGAAACCCTAATGTTGTGACCCCCCTATAGGCTAACCCACTACAGCCTACACAAATACAACATGTATAATGTTTGACAGAGATACCTTAATAGCTATAGATAGTAGGAGCGTGAGTTGAGAGAGAAGAAGGGTTTCACTAAAAAGAAATAGGAATGGTGGCTAAGGGAAGTACACCACCAATACCAAGAACCTAAATCATAATACACTAACTGTGTAGCATGCAGTTATATACAATATAATATTGACGGTATACAAGGTCTGGCTCAACAACCCGCATATGTGATCGAATGGTACTCTCAAGATCTGGTAGACACAATGCTCATCTGAGTTTTTATCAAATTAAGGGAATTGATATAAACGTGTATCAATTTTGTACCCGAAAGATACTGTTCACATGCTAGACTTGCGCGTTTATTGGAGACTCTTTTTTCCTCAAGAATAAAGCTCGTGCTTTTATCGTGTATCACATTATCGACCACTCATAGTCGCCTACCGTGAAGAAATCCCTTCCACGCTTAGGACGCGTCTCCTGAAGCGGATCGGCCAAGGTTCGGCCGAACCGCACCGACCTTCATTTTGAGCCCAGGCTCGGTAGCGATTGGTGCCCATGACTGCAAAAATCACAATCACAGCGGCCACACCGAGATACAGGTGACAGGTTCGGAATAGCAGGTTATTGGTTTGGTACACCCAACGTGCGACTACGTTCAGGGGTCGCACGCGACCCACGTGCGACTACGTTCAGGGGTCACATGCGACTACGTTCAGGGGTGTTGAATCTACTCGAAAAATGTAACCCATTGTGTACGACTTCGTGCAGTGACTATGCGACGAGGATCAACGGCGATCGATCGTGCTTGTCATCCTTGGCTCGATATCTCACACCGCACCCTGCAATCTCACGTTCGATATAGGTTGTACACTAAATCGATCGGGGAGACTCTCTGACGCAGTGGCGCTGGTAGCTGATGTCATTGACGCGGCGAAGAACGGCAATAAGGACTGGTACCTGTTGCTGGTGGACTTCAAGAATGCCTTTGATTCAGTATCGAGGGATTTCTTGTTCGATGTGCTCCGGCGGATGGGCTTCCCGGAACGCTTCGTCGGCTGGATTGAAGGCCTGCACGAGAAAACAACGACAAAGCTTTTGGTCAATGGCTGGCTGGGGGACGGGCTGGAGGTGGCCTCGGGAGTCAGACAGGGCTGCCCGCTAGCGCCTTACCTTTTCTTCTGCGCGGTGGAGCCCCTGGCTCAGGCGGTGGAAAGAGAGCGGCTGGGGCTTCACAGAGATGAGCAGCGGCTAAGTTATCTAGGCTATGCCGACGACACCACGTTGGTCATGCAGGGGAAGAGCAGATAGCTAGGGCAGGGGAAATTTTGGATAATTTTGAGAGGGCTTCCGGGCTCGCGACTAACAAGGGAAAGTCAGTCGTGCTGCCATTGGGTGCCAATTTGGGGGCAGCTGCGGACGGGTCGGCAGTTTTTAAATGGGCTGGAGCCGATGATGTTGAGCGCCTGTTGGGGGTTTGGGTGTCGCCATCTGGGAGCGGTGTAAAAACATGGGAGAAGACATTGGAGCGGATTGCTGAGAAATTGACTAAGTGGCAGCAGAAATACCTGACAACCACGGCGAGAGCGACAGTGGTGAACTATTACATCATACCGATCATCGCGTTCCAGGCGCAGGTTTACCCTCCGTCGGCTGACGTCTGGGAAGACCTCATTCGGCTGATTCATGGTTTCACATCCGGGAACAGAGCGTCAGCAGCGAAAGGATTCAGACTGTGGAGCAAAGAGCTGTTGTACATGTCGAGGGAGCTGGGAGGGATTGGAGTGATGGATCCTGAGATCATCATCTCCTGTCTTGCGGCGAGAAGGGTCGGCCTTTTTCTCACGGAGGGTGATGGGTTGAAGAAAGAGCTGATGGTGCTTGCGGCTGAACTCCCGCTCGGTGCGGACTCCTTCGAGGCTCATGAGAAGCTGTTCAAGCACTGGGAGGGGCGTAGTGTGCGTTGGAAGCAGACTTGTGAGTGCCTCTCACGCTCGCCGCTGTACACAAGGGCGGCGGCGTGCACGAGGGAAGAGGTTTTGCAGGAGAGGGTGGTTATTAATAAGAACATTTTGTTACGAGGCACCACGCCAATTGGTGGTCAGAAGGCTGCTAAGGAGCTGTCGGGACTCAGGCTGGGGGCCTTGTTCACAAGGGAGGCGTCAGGTGAGCTAGTGCAGAAATCCATGGCGGCCCTGTCGGCAGAGGTTGGGGGTAGTGGTGCTGCGAAGCTGGCGCTGAAGGCTCTGACCTGCTTGCCTGCGGCCTGGTACAAGCTGCTGGGGTTCCCAACCGTGCTTCCTCGCTCGGCTGACTCCCCTCCACGGGTGTTGATCCTGGAGAGGGGGGAGGTTGCCCCCATGAAGCAGCTGAAGGAGGGATGGAAAGGTGCCCAGAAGGAGTCGTACAAGCGGGCGAAATGGGCGGCCAGATGGGGGGAAAGCATCAACTGGAAGATGGTGGTGCGCACCCGGGACTCTCTGGCTGTTCCCAGTCGTCCGCGGGATGTTCTTCTCAGAATTCGCGGCTTGAATCTGCAAGTCGGGGAACGCCTGGCATTTTTGAGCAGCCAGCCTGTCTGCCCGTACTGTGGGGGCACGGAGACGTTAGAGCACTGCCTGGTTCTCTGCCCAAGGATACAGGTTGTCACCACTGCTCTCCGGCGCGCTCTGCGCATGCTCAACCCCGCGCGTGGGACAGACTCGCTCGGAGACCTTCTGTTCCGAGAAACGGGCACCAGCTCAGCTTTTCCGGAGATGACGTTAACGTCGATCACAATGCACCAATTGTGGGGCGAACGGTGTGATGCTGTCTTCCGGAAGCAGAAATTCCGCGTGCAACGTGTCCTGCGGAGGATAGAGTTGGCCTTTCGACATCACGTGAAGCTGTACACTCATGCATTTGGTTCGACGTGGCGAAAGCAAAGGCGGCGGGATTCTTCGGAGGAATGGAATATGCTGAAGAAGATCAGGCTGGATGGCAACAGTTTGAAATGGAAAAACAGTTTCGCTGCATTATGGTCGGCGCGGAGGGCAAGAGCCACCAGGACCTAAGACTACAGTACCCAACTTGGAGGCAGAGGTCCCCCCTCTAACTCCTCACGCACGGTTACGACCGTCTTTGTCTGTATATGCTTGTTTCTATCGGTGTATACATTCAATAAAAAAAAAAAAAACATGAGGCGACGGAAGTCGTCGTAGGGTTGCGAAGCTTTTTCTTGAGGGGATTACTAGTGGGAAGTGTGAAATCAGAAAAACAATCGCTAAATAAGTTCTTGGTAAGTTGACGTCCAAGAGATTCGAACCTAAGACCATTCGGATCTTAGTTGACATTCGATCGACTGAGCTACATGTCCCGTATCGGTTCGCGCGTTTCAACTTGACGTGAAGTATCAATGCGACGAAGTTTGCATTCCCTAGGGTTTCATTTCTTCCCTTTTTTTCTCGCTGCTTCCTCTTGCTCGCTTACTCTCCCCAGCAGCAGACGCTAGTTCTTGCTTGTCTTCTCTCCTAGACACACTGGTATGTTCGTTTTTTCCCTAGATTGCATCTTCGTCAGCTCAAGTATATAGTTGTCGCGATATAGTTCCCTTCAATTTCGTTTTCCAGCTATGACACTTTTTGTTTTTCTGGTCGTTATTTCGTTTTCTCAACTTTGATTTCCACCTCATTGCTCAGTAACGTAGCCGTTTTCCTTATTCCTTTCTCTTCCGTTTTTACTCGTCGTAGTTTTCGTGCATACTCTATTTTCTAGTTCTCGTTCTCGATCTCTCTCTCTCTCTCTCTCTCTCTCTCTCTCTCTCTCTCTCTCTCTCTCTCTCTCTCTCTCTCTCTCTCTCTCTCTCTCTCTCTCTCTCTCTCTCTCTCTTTCTCTTCTCTCTCGTCTCTTCTCTCGTTCTCCTCGTTCTCTCTCTCTCTCTCTCTCTCTCTCTCTCTCTCTATCTCTCTCTCTCTCTCTCTCTCTCTCTCTCTCTCTCTCTCTCTCTCGTGTTCTCTCTTGTTGTCTCTCTCTCTTTCTCTCGTTCTCTCTCTCGTTCTCTTTCTCTCTCGTTTTCTTTCTCTTTCTCTCTCTCTCTCGTTCTCTCTTTCTCTCTCGTTTTCTTTTTCTCTCGTTCTTTCTTCTCTCTCTCTCTCTCTCTCTCTCTCTCTCTCTCTCTCTCTCTCTCTCTCGTTCTCTCTCTGTGAAATTCACAGCTAAGGTATATCGTTGTTTCCTGTTTTGTTACTTGCTCTGTTTTTTGCGTTCTGTTTTTTAACGTATAGCGTTGTTCATCATTTTTTACCTTACCACCATTAGATTGCATTTTGTTTGGTTATTATAATATTATCATCATTTGACTTACTTTATTTTCAATTTTCTCCACATTTTGATAATTCTTTTCTTCTCTCCCCTCTTCCTTCTTTCCCTCTCCTTCATTCGGTGCCTATTTGTTTTTCCAGATTTCCTTCTGGCTTTCGTTCCAGATGTGTACATCTGCCAAGATTACTTGTGAAGTGGATGGTAGTGGTAATCTGTAGGATTGTTTTGTATTGCATGTTTTGTTGTTTTTAGAGTTTTTTTCATTTACGGTTTTTTTTCCGTTTGTGTGAATGTGTGTGATCTTGTATATGTGTTTGTATGTGTGTGTGTGCCTTTGTCTGTGTGTGTGTGCTGTGGCTGTGTGCATTCATCCGTATCCATTGCAATAACAACGCACGTCTTTGATCTTTAAAAAGAAATCTCAAATCTATCATTTCACAAAAGGTTCATTGGCGCACTCAGTGACTCGTGTGCGACCACTTCGAACTGGATTTGATAGAGATGACTTTCTTTTTTAGATTTCACAGATTGTGTTGTTTCATGTGGTAGTTGATTATTCAAAAGCTAAGCTATTTACCTCCCCCCCATGCTAGGCAGGGGATGGCGGTAGCTTAGTTTTTGGGTTTTTAACTGTCACGCATTTTACCATGTGCATGCGCATCATTCATGATATATCACACGCATTATATAGCATTATTTATGCATTATGCATTGTATAGCATCATTTATGCATTGTGCATGCATCAATTTATTATCACACAACACCATTCAACAGTAAAACATATACGGTAATGCAAACAGTACAGCAAATCTGCACTAAACAACTGCAAAAAAATCATATGGTCTAATACACTGTGAACAGTACCGTAGTCAAGACTGCTTAACATGCATACAGTATGGGAAGGGTATTACTGTAGTTTGCAAATTTTATTTTCATGTTTTAACAAAAAATATAAACATGAAAATAAAATTTGGCAAAATCGATCGTAAAGGGTTGCTTCGCAACCCAAAAAAACTAAATCGGTCGGGGATCTCGTAGGTGACAGGTTTTTGGTCACAAATTTACTGTACACTCGCAAACATACGCGAATACTAGTTACGATGTTGATTACGAAGCAACAGTTTTAGACTCCGCGCGCAATACCGATCTTCCAGCGGATCGATCCGCTTCAGGGGACGCATCCTTAAGACGCGGCACCTGTTTTCATTTTGCCAGGATCGGGGCCTCACATCGATCCTGACACATCGATCGGCACACCGATGTGCCCACACTGAAAATTTGCAGTGGGGTAGACACATCGAGCTATAGGTGCCAGGATCGAAATTGCAGGGTCGGGCAGGCTGAATACACCAACACACTGCAACGCGCAGCCAATCAGGGCAGAGCGTGGTTGGTCGCCCAGCAATTTCATTCGCAACGACTCGAGAATTTTTGGCCTGCGACTGTGGACGACGCCGATCGATCGCGGCTGTCACCTGTGGCTCGATGTGCTCTACCGCCAAACTAAAAGCACGATCGATGTGTGCACCGCGGCACATCGAACGTGCGAGCTGCAGGTGCCACCAATTTGGGTCCCCGTGTACTGTACATTTTCGAAGTCATGCGAAAAACGGATACCATGCATTGACGATGTCGCCAATGCACTGTATAAGCGGCACATCGATCCCTCCTACGATCGATCCTGGCAAAATGAAAACAGGTGCCGCGTCCTTACCGTGTCGTGTTTGGCTAAGTGTCCGTTTCAGCATCCCCTGTAACGACTACTACCTGCGTACCCCCCTCCTAGATTCTTGTCCGTTCTGACATCACTCTTGATGTGGTTCAGTCGGAACAGCAGTCCCTCAAGCTCGCAATCCGTCATCGCGGTAAAGAGAAGGCAATATGTTGGAAAATCGTCACTAGAAAGTGACATTCCCGCACGCCAGTTCCACGATTGTCGCGTCGGGACCCGCCGCCGGTGTTGCACGCTTCGACATATCTCGAAATGCCACCTTGCTCGAGTCGCGGCTAGTAGTACGTGGTACCCGACCCGCGCGCTAGAAGTAGTAGTAAACGCGATTCCGAGTCGTCGGCACGATCGTGACGCCCACTAGTATTAGTGGCATCGCCGACTTCTGTGGCGAATTCCCGCAATCTCTCCGCCTGCCGCTGTTACCCGAGCTTTGTTTAGATCCTTCATTCTTTTTCGTCTAAAATTCGCCTAGCCAGCCGCCCGTTCCATGGATCGTCGCGATCTTCGCCACGGGCTTCGGTAGTTGTAACTCTTTTCGCACGCCACCACTCGCCGCGCGGCTGCTGAAATCGCATCATTCAGCCGTCATGAGCGCAGGCGACGACGACGATCATGATCGCAAGGACGCCGCCGCCATGCTCGCGTCGCACAGCGCGTGGCGACAAATGCTGGCAACCGCGGCGAGGCCGGTGGCGGCGCATCATCTCGAGGTTCCGCGGCGCCACGTCATCATCAAATCATGGATTGGCTCTCCACACAGCAGCGGCGGCGGCGGCATCGTTGGCGGCGGCGGCGGCGGCAGCAGCGCGTGGCGATGGCAAGCGACGGAGAAGCAGTCCGCGTCGCTCGCGCTCCTCGCGCTGCCCTTCCTGCTCCTCCTCCTCGTCCTCTGCTCGCTCTTCCTCGTCTCCCTAAACCAGGCCGGCTCCTTCGGCTGGGAAACCTATACCGACCCCACCAGCTTCCCTCCCACCAGCCCCAACAGCCAAAGCACGGACCCCAGCGATTATACCACAGCCGGTACCACCAACAGCAGCGCCAGCAGCAGCGGCGGCGGCGGCGGCGGCGGCGGCGGCGGGAGCCGCAGGTCACCATTCCTCGCCCATCTGCACCATGCTGCCACTCTCCGCTGGCGGCCGGCACGGGACGTTAGTGGCAGAGGCGGCGGCGATGACAACAGCTTGAGTCGCAGTGGCAGTGGCAGCGGCAGTGGGAGTCACTTGGGCCCAAGTGACAGCCCAAGTGGCAGTGGGTGGGAGACAGCAGGGGTTGCACCTGGCAGGGACAGTGGAGACGGCGTTGGAAGCACAGCTGCTGCTGAGCGTGCTGGTTCCAGTGAGACCATAGTTATCGGTGGTGCCGTTGGTGCTGGTGGCGGTGAAGCAAGGGAGAGTGACGGCGTTCCCCCTTTGTCTGAGTCGGCCACGCAGCAGCAGCCTGCTGCTCTGGTCGTGGCCTCTGCAGCTGCTGCGGTGGGTGCTACTCCCGCTGCTGCCCGTCATGCAGCCTCTGCTCTGCAGGCCCTCGCCCTCGCGTCGCTGCCGCCCCCCTCGGTTGTGCCGTCGCTCGCAGCGCCACTGGTGTCAGCAGCGTCGGCAGCACTGGCGTCGCTGACGGTAGCAGCAGCACTACCATCAGAATCAGTGGTAGCCTCAGAATCACCACCCTCACAGTCCCCACCCTCTCAGTCTCCTCCCTCTCAGTCTCCGCCTTCTCAGTCGCCACCGTCTTTGCCACCGCCCTCCCTGTCACCAGCGTCCCTACCAGCCCCCGCAGCAGCATTGCCAGCAGAAGCAGCAGCCACAGCGTCAGAATTGTTACCATCAGCAGCAGCAGTATCAGCATCAGTATCACATTCACAATGCGCATCTCCCTCATCCGCCGGCGGGGCGCTTTACGTCCCCATGACCGCCATAAGCGGGTGGACGGACCCCCCCCTTCAACCCATCAACGCCTTGGTCCATGCCAGCCTGGCTCCTGACGTCATTGCAGACGTGGCAGCTGACGTGGCAAAGCGGGGGGGCATTCCCAGCGAGCCCTTGCTGGGTGCGCCGTGGAGCCCCGCTGGCAGAAAATATCTCCTGGCGCTCTGCTCCACTGGCGGGGTGAGTGGCGCTTTGCTCTGCTGTGCTGTGCATGTGTGCTGTCAAAGATGCGAAGGGAAGAGAAGGGCACGTGCACTTAATGCACCCACTTGGGTCTCTTACTGCCGCTTGTCTTCCCCCTCCCTCGCCTCTCTGTGTGTCGGAGACAAGCGCCACTGTGCCACAAACAGTGCTCTTGTCCTCCTGCTCCCTTGCTTAACAATTGTCCCTATTGCGCCCCTCCATGCGCCCCTGTCTGTGTGCCTGTCACCCCACCCACATGTCCAACCATCTCTTCTGCCTCGAGGCGCCTATAGAGTGTTCATGGCCCCTCTCCATGCCCCTCTCCATGCGCCTCTCCATGCGCCCCTCCATGCGCCCCTCCATGCGCCCCTCCATGCGCCCCTCCATGCGCCCCTCCATGCGCCCCTCCATGCGCCCCTCCATGCGCCCCTCCATGCGCCCCTCCATGCGCCCCTCCATGCGCCCCTCCATGCGCCCCTCCATGCGCCCCTCCATGCGCCCCTCCATGCGCCCCTCCATGCGCCCCTCCATGCGCCCCTCCATGCGCCCCTCCATGCGCCCCTCCATGCGCCCCTCCATGCGCCCCTCCATGCGCCCCTCCATGCGCCCCTCCATGCGCCCCTCCATGCGCCCCTCCATGCGCCCCTGTCTGTGTGCCTGTCACCCCACCCAGATGTCCAACCATCTCTTCTGTCTGCGTGAGTTTGCGCTGATGGCAGGCGCTCTCAACCGAACGCTCGTGGTGCCCATGGGGCCTCATGAGGTACGTCTCCTGTCTCCTGCCCTGCCCTGCCCTGCCCTGCTCTTCCCTGCCTTTCCTTGCCTTGTTGCCGTCCCACTGCCCGTGGCATACGCTGCATTGCCGTTGTACCATGGTATGGCATGTGATGGGGGTTGGGGTATGACCATTTTCGTGGCTCAGCAAGTACCGTTACTTCTAACAAATTCTCAGCTACATGTTTGCTAGCTGCCTCGTACACGGTTTCAAGTGAGTTCTAATTGTCGGCCCTTTCTTCCCCCTTTTCCCTGCACTTCGCCTCTCTGCACCGCACCGCCGCCTCCTCGTACAAGTTTTTTATTTTCTCACGCCCACCTTTCCTCTCTTGCCGCTTAATTGCCCCCGACGCACAACAGCTCACCCTCCCGCTCTCACCCGTGTGTGACGTGCCCTTTCTGCACCTTCCTGTGCAACAGAGGTGACCTTTGAGTTGACTCAAAAGTCACTCTGTCTGCACCTTCCTGCGTGTGATGAGTCGATTTTTGAGTCGACTCAAAATTCGCTCTCACCCGTGTGTGACGGGCCCTTTCTGCACCTTCCTGTGCAACAAATCTCTCCTCTCCTCACCTCCATGCCGCGCCTCCCCCCTCTCTCTGTCCCTTTCCAGCTAACCCTGCCACTCTCCCTCGTGTTTGACGTGCCCTTCCTGCGTGCCTGCTACGGTCCCAAGATAGCCCTTACCCTCGACGAGTACAAGCAGTTCGTGAGTCCAGGCAGTGCCGTTGTTGCCATGCCATCCCATGCCATGCCATGCCATGCCATGCCATGCCATGCCATGCCATGCCATGCTATGACATAAGTATGCCATCCGTACAGCCCTTGTCATGTCCTGCGTGCCTGCTATGGTCACAAGACTGTCCTCACCCCCGACGCCCAACCACCGTCCCCTCTCTTGACTGCCTGTCCCAACCCACATCCGCGTTCATTTCCCCCCCAGGCAAGTAGGAAGGGGCAGCAAGCAGGTGACCCACGTGCTGTGCTGTGCCTCGTCAAGGCCTGCCACCTCGTGGCCCTACTGCCTGCCACCTCGTGGCCCTACTGCCTGCCCTGCCCCTGGCTGGCCCCTGCCCCTGTCCGTGACAGCAACCCTCCCCCTGCTCCCCCCCTGCTGCAGGTGGGCAAGGGCAGCATGGAGGTGAACCACGTGCTATGCCTTGTCAAGGGCTGCCACCTCGTGCCAGATGCTGGTGAGTGGGGTGGGACCCACTGGGGGGGCAGGGCTGCATGAGGGGAAGAGAGGGCTGCACTGGGGAAGAGAGGGCTGCACTGGGGAAGAGAGGGCTGCACTGGGGAAGAGAGGGCTGCACTGGGGAAGAGAGGCTGCACTGGGGAAGAGAGGGCTGCACTGGGGATGGGCAGGGCTGCACGGGGTAGGGGCAGGGCTGCGTTGGGGAGGTGATTTAGATACGCACCTTCTCCCCTTCCCCCTCCTCCTCCCCTCCCCGCGCCACCCATGTGCGTCGGCACCACTGGTGTACTGCAACGCCTCAAAACCCTCTTTCCCGTTCCTCCCTCCTCAAAACCCTCTTTCCCGTTCCTCCCTCCTCAAAACCCTCTTTCCCGTTCCTCCCTCCACGAAACCCTCTCGCCTTCCCTGCAGCGCCAGGCGGGCAGTTCGTGGCGGGCAAGGGGCGCATCAGCCTAGCAAACGTGACGGTGCCGGCAGTGGAGCAGTGGGCGTGGTCGGGCCTGCCTGACAAGCACTCGCTGCAAGGTGGGCAATGCTAGGCTGGGCTGCAGTGCTTAATGCGGTGTTGGGCTGTGCTTAAGTTTGCTTTGCGTTGAAACTGGGGTTGGGCTTGAGTGTAGTGTAGTGTGCGACCGAGGCTACTTTTGAGGCGCCTCAAAACTCGAGTGTAGTGTGCGACCGAGACTGCCTTGACCCAAGTGTTGTGAATGTGGAATGGAGTTGCGTTGGAGCGCTGGGCTTGACTGTTGTTTGGCGACTGGGGCTGTTCTAGGGTGCTGTGTGGGGTTGTTCTAGGGTGCTGTGTGGGGCTGTTCTATGGTGCTGTGTGGGGCTGTTCTGTGTGGGGCTGTTCTAGGGTGCTGTTTGGATACCAACACTTGGTCTGCCTGCTATGGTGGTGGGGAGGTCTGTGCCTGCCTGCGCTGTGAGGAAATCTAGCCTGCCAAGTGGACAGTGCTGCAGCCTGTGCACTAGTGTGGTGTGGTGTGGTGTGGTGTGATGTGATGTGGTGTGGTGTGGTGTGGTGTGGTGTGATGTGATGTGATGTGGTGGGGTTGGGATATGCTGGTTTGATATGTTACTGCGTGGTGTGGTGTGGTGTGGTGTGGTGTGGTGTTGTGTGGTGGCCTACCTTTCGATCAGACGTAGCATTCTTGCAAAGAGGCCTTTCGGAAGTGATGCATCCATCCATGTGAGGAGCATCACATGGATGGATGGATGCATCTGTGCAATGGTCAGTCATCACGTGCTTCCCTCTCCTTCTTCAACATGCAGCACCTTGCCATGCCATCCCATCCCATCCCAACTGCACCCCCTATCACCCATACTCCTCTCAACCACTCTCCTCTCAACCGCACCCATCTCAACCTCTCCTGCCAGCGTTCCTCAAGGTGTACAGCCGAGTACCGGACGGGGTGCTGGTGATGGGCGAGTTCAAGAAGGTGTGTCTTCTGATGACAGGTGTACTATATCTCTCTTTGTGGCGTCTATGCCTGCTGTTGCCACCTGATGTGTCACCTGATGCCAGTACATGGTATCTCCTATTCTGACCCCCTTCCATAATTTCAACCTATGAGTACATACATCTCATGTTCACATCCCATCCGATCGCATACGGCACATTCAACATCCCTTCACAGCTCAGAGGTCCCTACAAGTATGCCGACTTTTGAGGCGCTGTAAAAGTCGTCTCTCTACCTGCAATCCCATCGCGTACAGCACATTCAACATCCCTTTGCAGCTTAGAACTCTCTACACCTATCCCATCGCCACGTTCCTATTCTTCCCTCCTCTCCCCCCTCCAGCAGCCCATCGCAGACCCCATCTTCTTGCATGCTCTCCCCCATGAGCCTCCCATCCCTGCCGCGTCGGTCCCTTCGCCCCTGTCAAATGCTTCAACCATGCCCCCTTCCCTTAATCCATGCCCTCTTCCCTTTCCCCCACCTACCCCCCTTCGCCTCCCCCATCCCTTCAGCAACCCATCACGGATTCTGTCTTCTTCCGCATGCTCTCCCCAATGGACCTCCCGTTCCTGCTGCCCCCACCACCGGGCAAGCAGAAGGGAAAGGCCAAGCCTGCGAAGGTGGTGCCACGAGAAACATGCCTCGCGTCTCCCGCCATCCGGGTGAGAGATTGCCGTCCAGATGACAGATTGCCGCCCAGATGACAGATTGCCGCCCAGATGAGAGATTGCCATTCGGGTTCAGAATGGCCATGTGGGTAAAAGAGAGATTTCTCCTCATTGGATTGCCATCCCTCTCCATTTCCCCTCCCTTCCCCTCACACCTTCTCGTTGTTTCCACACCCACGTTCCCTCACTCCCTCTCCCATTCCCTCAGCCGCCTGAGCCGCTGATAGCAGCAGCGCGCCACATAGTGCAGCGCCATCTGCTCAACGGCCAGTTCCTGGCGGTGCAGTTCAGGAGGGGCGACTTCAAAGACTACTGTCGGAAGAAGGTACGACTCGTGTGATAGCAACGTGATAATAAAAGTGTTTTAAGACATCTCGAAACGCTGTGCAAATCAGGAGGGGCGGCTTTAAGGACTACTGCTGGAAGAAGTTGTGACTTGACCCCATTTCATCCCCATCCCATCCCATCCCATCCCATCCCATCCCATCCCATCCCATCCCATCCCATCCCATCCCATCCCATCCCATCCCATCCCATTGCTCGCGTCCTATCCCATCCCATCCCATCTCTGGCAGTCCTCGCTCTGGTCAATCTGTCTCCCTCTCCCATCCCTCCCACCAGCGCCCATCGGACGGCTGCTTCCTGCCAGTGGACCAGGCGGCACAGTGCATGCGTGCTGCAGCCATCGCAGCACGTGTCCCCCTTGTCTTCCTTGCCACCACATTCCCCTCAATCATGTCCCTTACTCCGCTCTCTCTCTCCCGTGTCTCGCCCTCTACCCCAACCCTCACACCCTCTCCCATCCCTCCCACCAGCACCCATCGGACGGCTGTTTCCTCCCAGTCGACCAGGCAGCACAGTGCATGAGTGTTGCAGCTATCGCAGCACATGTCCCTCTTGTCTTCCTCGCCACCAAAGCACCCTCCATCCATCTACCATCACTCCCCTCACTCTGCTGCCCTCTCTTCCTTTTCTCCTCCTCTATCCCACCTGCATGCCCTCCCTCCCATCCCTCCCACCAGCACCCATCGGACGGCTGTTTCCTTCCGGTCGACCAGGCAGCACAGTGCATGCGCGCTGCAGCTATCGCAGCACATGTCCCACTCGTCTTCGTCGCCACCAACGCCCGGCCGCACGAGGTAGCAGCCATTGCAGCAACGCTTCTTGAGGCGCCTCAGGAACAGCCACTGGAGGTCGCAGCTACGGTTGCTGCGGCTGATACTGCTGCTGCTGCTGGTGCTGCTGGTGCTGCTGGTGCTGCTGGTGCTGCTGGTGCTGCTGGTGCTGCTGGTGCTGCAACAGCTGCTGCTGCAGTGGAGCAGGAACAGCCATCTACAGAGGCACTAAAGAGAAGACTGTTGAGTCGATTTGCAGCTGAGGACCACCAGAGCAGAGGCCAGCAAGAGGAGATGCCACTGCCACCCAAAGCACCGCTCTCACTGCTGGCGGTTGCACAGCTATCTGGGCCCGATTCTCAGCCGTTGGATTCACGATCTCAGCTGTCGATGCCCGCGATCGCACGGCGCATGCTGCCTGGTGGATCAAGCGGAGATGAGGCTTCACTGCATGATGAGCTACAGCCTGCCAACATCAGCAGCGGTCCCGATGCTTTAGATGGCAGCAGCAGTGCAGTGCAGCTTGTAACGCTAGCGCATCTGCTCTCTAAAGAGGACAGCAGCACGTGGCTTCAACCGCTTATGGAAAATGTGAGTTGGCAGCATTTTTAAACTGTGCAGCTTTTAAGGTTCATTGGTTTGAGAAATTTCAAAAGACGCTCAAGGATGGTGAAGGGTGGTGAAGGGTGGTGATGCGTGGTGGAGGGTAGTGAAAGTTGGCGAATGCTAGTTAGGGTCGGTTCAATGGAGCACGAGCTAGGTGCTATTGGGAATTTTGAGTCTGTTCGAAGGTGTCTAAGGCTGTTTCTGGTCTTTCTCCAATTCACCACCTCACCAGCAGGCATGCTGGCCGCTGCTGTGCTTCCGTCATTGAGGTCTTTCTTCCCCCTCCAACCAACCTCATTCATAACTTGCCATTCTCCCTCCCCCAGGGCATTGATCTCAAGACCACTCCTCAAGCTGCAGCCACACTGGGAAGCTGCAGGGGAAGCTGCAGTGCATGCTGGCTGATGTGGCCTCCTTCTCCAGAACTAGCATCCGCTTCCCTTCAACCATCTTCCCCTCCTCCTTCCCCCCAAACAGGGCATCAATATCAAGACCACCCCGCAAGCGGTCGCCACACTGGAGAAGCTGCTGTGCGCGCTGCCTACTGGCTTTCTGGGCACAGCCCACTCCACCTTCACCCAGACTGTGTTCCCCCTCCAACCTCATTCTGCCTTGCTCCCTCTCCCTCAGGGCATCAATATCAAGACCACCCCTCAAGCGGTCCCCACACTGGAGAAGCTGGTGTGTGCGCTGGGTGCTGGCTTTCTGGGCACAGCCCACTCCACCTTCACCAATGACATTGTGCGGCTGAGACACGGGTTCCGCACAGCAAGGTGCAGCGATGATTATATCTGCAGTGCAGGACCGAAAGAAGGGTAGAAGCAGAGGGGTGGATTCATCTGCGATGCAGGCCCACAGGAAGGGAGGGAGGGAGTAGACTAGAGGGTGGGTTTGAATTCGAGGAGGCATCCATTCGTGTGTTCTTTTACTTACAGGTTGTGGAACTTTGAAGCTTGGCGGCAGCTCATGGCGCGCTCACGCAGACTCATGCTAGTTGTTATTTATATATGTATCATAATGTATATTGTAAAAACTTCTGCTTGTACTAAACTTGTTACATAGTAAAGCGTGATAACTGTTGGGTCAATGGGCCGGTGCCGGTCATACTGCCGAAGTATATTTATCTCTGTGATCTGCACGTTGCTACTCTAATTGAGCTCCCGTGGCCGGGGTTCTGCTGCCTCGACACATCCTCCAGTCTTCACTTGACGCATTAAAGAGCACATTCGCCTGACACAGTTTGTCTGGAAGGAGCCTGCTGCCTTAACACATCCTTCTAAGCCGCTGCAGTCTTGACGCGTTTAAATTGCAGCTTCGCCTGACACAGCTGGACTGAATGGGTGTTATTAAATCTCCCCAAAACACCTTGTGGCACAGGCCTGCTGCCTTAGCACATCCTCCTAGGCAGCCGCAGTCTTGACGCGCTTGAATTGCAGCTTCGCCTGACACATCTTGCCAGAAGGGCCTGGGTGGACGAAGAGGGTGGACGAAGAGGGTGGACGAAGAGGGTGGATGAAGAGGGTGGACGAAGAGGGTGGATGGAGAGGGTGGACGAAGAGGGTGGATGAAGAGGGTGGACGAAGAGGGTGGATGAAGAGGGTGGACGAAGAGGGTGGACGAAGAGGGTGGACGAAGAGGGTGGACGAAGATGGTGGACGAAGAGATATGCACAGGGTGGTTCGATAGGGAGACATGACAAGGATGGTTGACGGGAGGAGAAGCATGGGAAGAGTAGGGCGTGTCATGTGTGGCATATGTGGCATATGTATTGCGTCCCTCTGAGGCACGTAGAGGGGGACGTGTCACATGTGATGTGACTATAAGACCTGAATCTCCTGGAGCAATCACACCTTGCATACCTGAGGGTCTCTTTAAGAGAGTGAGCTTGGCTTGCGGCAACGGGATGGTGCTGCTGTTGCTCTTGCTGGCAGCACCCTGTTGTTGTTGGGCCATTTCAGCTGGGGTAGGCCTTGGCTGCTGCTCTGCCACATCAGCGGAAGCAACGTGCTGCAGCTGCTGATGCAGGTGTGCCACGTCAGCGGCATGTATGCACTGCTCCTGTGTGGTATGTGGAACATAGAAATTGATTGTGGTAGTTGCATATGTTCCAAACATATGTGTTCCACATGTAGGCCATGAGATTACGTGCAAGAACCGCTTGCACAAATCCCTGCGGCTGCTCTAAATGCATGGCATCATGGATGAGGACCATGCAAACCCCGTTCATGTGGCATATGGATTGCATCGCATGGCCCACGCTGGCCCTTGCTGCCTGCACTACCATGTGGCATATGTATTCCGTCACACGGCTCATGCTGCACTGCCATGCCACATGCTCCATCACTCCCCATGCCCCACCACCCATACTGCACGACATCATGCACCAGCATGTCAAATGCTGCACGACCAAGAATGTCACATCATTAAAAACTGCCAGATGCACTGTGTGCCATACAACACCATACACCGCATCATATGCAACGCATGGCATGCTCTGTAACTCACCTTCTGGGCGTGCCTGACAGGCAGGGAACCATCCCGTTCTGCTGCTCCACAGGTCCCTTCACATCTTTCTGCAACTTCACATCTTGCTGCATCATGTGAAACGTTGCATGGTGACTCTCGGAATGATCTACTTGAAGCCTGGTGCATCTTATTGTGCTGCTGCTCCTTCGCCTGCCACTGCCTTTGCTGCTGCGGCTGATGCTGCCGCTGTTGCTGTGGTTGATGCGGCTGCCGCTGTTGATGGTGCTGTTGCTGCTGCTGATGCTGCTGCTGCTGCTGCTGCTGATACTGCTGCGGCGGCTGAAGCTGGACTGGTGGGTGCTGGCGCGGCACAGACTCCTCCTGTGGCTTGCTGGGTGTGGGGCAGCTGTGGGACGACCCAAACAGGTCCGTGCACTGGGCTTCCATGCACGCCACCACCTGGTGTCGCAGGGAAGGGTGCACATTGTGAGGTGAACACAAGCAAACATACGATGGATGCGCCCTCATGCACCTGCTGCTGCTGGATGAACCAACCAGGTCCGTGCAGTGGGCTTCCATGCATGCCACGTCACCACCTGGTGCCACAGGGGGGGGTGCATATTGTGGTGTGAACACATGATGGATGGGTGTGCCGTGATGCACCATAGCGGCATCTTAGAAGTGAACACACGATGGCTCTGCCATGTGCACTTTGGAGCATCTCCCAAGTGAACAAGTGATCGCACGATAGATGTGCCCTGATGATGCACTGTATAGCCCCTCTCAAAATTGCAGTGCTGGGCGGATTAGCCACGATGCACTATAAGGCGCCTCAGAAGTGTGACAGGGAGGATGCTGTGCATGCATCAAGGACAGATGCCAACACAGCACATAACATAGAACAGCCATTGTGTGTTCACATCTGAGATGGAGAACAGACAGATGCCATTCGAACACAGCTGAGAGAACAGACGAGTGGACACTCAAGTGAAGAAGCTGTGTTGAGCACAGCACAGTAGGCATTTGTGTGTGGAAGATGCATGTACCTGCTGAAACTCGTCCTTGCCCACACGTGTGTTTTCCAGCAACCTGTCAATGTCCATCTTCAGCTGCATTTATGCATACACATGATGGTCCGATTCATGCATGTGTGACACACATGCACATGCCATGCTCACGCACATGTCGAAACGCATGCCATGCACATGCACTTGCCCATGCACATTTCATGCACATGCCATACACATGCATATGCACGTGCCCATATTATGCACATGGACTTGCAGACATTCAAGCACACATGACCATGCACATGGGTAAACGCACATACAGCGATGGTTACGCCCATAGATGGACACACATACGAGAGAACTCTTTTACGCATGTTCTGCATCCGCATGGGTAGGTGAATACATAAAAGTAAACGACAGCAAGAAACTCCCACCAAGCGTATGCACAACACCACATGGAAAAGCAACGACGTACTTGGTCCCACATTCTCCTATAGCTGCCTCAAAAGCAACCCATGAAGGGCGTATCTGGTTGCGTGTGGCGGTGAGCATGAGCACTGCTGCCATGTATGCCGACCGGGAAAATTCAGTGCCGCCCCTCCATGCTTCTGGAAGGGCGGCAGTGAAGCGAGCGGTGAAGCTGCGAGGGACAGGCCACGGCCACAGTGGAGGACTAGGTTGCACAATCTTCCTTACCTGGTTGCGTGTGGCAGTGAGCATGAGCGCTGCTGCCATGAATGCCGGACGGGAGAAGTCAGTGCCGCCCCTCCGTGCCTCTGGGAGGGCGGCAGTGAAACGAGCGGTGAAGCTGCGAGGGACAGGCCACGGCGGCAGTGGGGAGAGAGGGCAGAGGGTAGGGAGCAAGGGGGGAAGGAGAAGGAAAAGGGAGCACGGGGGAGGGAACGGGGGGGAAGAGGCAGGAGGGACGGGGCAGCATGGAGGGTGCAGGGACCAACTTGGGTAGGCTCAACTGCGACCTGCACAGTCACACCACACAGAATTTTACAGCTGAGATGCATTTGCTGAGAGGCAAGTAGTGACATGCACGTGGCAAAAACGACAGGTGAGACATGCGTAGAGACAGGCATAGGCACACAAGCATGAATTCTGTAACATGGTTCGACCCGAGATTGACCTGGTGGCATGACAACGCTGTGGCAGTGAGCCTGTGGCTTTGGAGTCGCGCTGCTGTGGCTTGTGCTGTGTCTTGCTTTGGAGGCAGGAATGGGTCGCCTGCACTCACGCTGCTTAACAGACTGCAGTGCGCTGTTGCCTTCAAATCCATCCGAGCAACTGTGAGTACCTGACGTATACGGTGGTCATGAATGGTGGCTCGTGCCCGGGCACCATGTTATGGGTATACGCCTGGGTGGTGGCCTAGCGCAGTGGATTTGGAGCTGCACTGCGTGTGTTGCGTTGTGGCTTTGGCATTGATACCAGAATGGTGCTCACCTGACGCCTAGAGCGTTGTGAATGGCCGCTCGCGCCCGGGCGTATGCGGGTGGAGACATGCCGCTCAGCTTGGCTGCCTTGCGCGCATCCACTGCTGTGTTGCTCATCCTGCCAAGGCCGTATGGTATCGGGTCATTGGGATGCATGACAGCGCCGTGAGACCCCGTGCTGCCTAGCCAGCCAATGCCCCACGGGGCCATCTTGCCGTGCATGTGAGTGAGTGGAACGAGGGGGGGAGGGGGGGAGGGGGAGGGGAGGAGGAGGTTAAGCCATGCTTCGGAGATGGAGGTCTTGCCTGCATCCACTGTAGTGTCAGCCGGCTTGCTGGTGGATCGCGGGGCGGTGAGTGGGTCATGAGTGCGTAGACAGAACAGAGAAGCGGGTAGACAATGGGTATCCTTCCAGGTTAGTTGGCTGAGCGCTCGTGCTTGGGTGGGTGGCGTGGATGAGAGGGAGCAGCTGATGGGGACGGGGGAGAGGATGAGAAGGGGGTTGGCGGGAGGAAGAGAAATGAGGGATGTGGCGGGGAGAGGGGAAGGTTGAATGGGGTGTTTGAGAGAAGAGGGATGTTTTTGGTGAGTGTAGGAGTGTGATATGGAGGGAAGAGAGGGCGGGAAGGAGGGAAGAGGGAGGAAGGGAGGGAGGGAGGGAGGGAGGGAGGGAGGGAGGGAGGGAGGGAGGGAGGGAGGGAGGGAGGGAGGGAGGGAGGGAGGGTGGGAGGGATAGGGAGAGAGAAAGAAAGAGGGTTGGGAGAGCAGGAGGGACGGCTGCATGGAGGGACATCGCGAAAATGGCAAGTGCCGAAAGTCACAAAAATGTGTTTGAAATGTGACTTTTCCATGACCGCAAGTCCGGCGGTTTTAAGTCATGGTTGAAAGTACCGGCCCCGAT